ACCAAACAAAAATTCAGTGGAGAAGTCTAGGACTCACTCAAGCAACAGTAACAACAGGGATGGGGGGAAAAGGGCTTCAGAAGTTGAGCCCAAAACGCAACCTTGAAAAGGGCCCCCTGCAGCTCTGTTGTAGGCACAGGAACTGGACCATTGGATGCTGAGCTGTTGTCTGATCTCCAACCTGATGACTTAGGATGATTTGGGGGTGGATAAACATGGAGTTTCCTTCCTTCTGCAGAATCTGGACCTCCTAACAAGCATTCCCAAATTAAAGGGAGACTAAAAGAAATGAGAAAGAGTTAAGAAACCAGGAAGTAGTGTCTGGGGGAAAGGACAATATAGTCCAGGGGTTAAAAGCCCAGGCACTTGCATCAGACAAATCTGAGTTCAAGTCCAAGACCTGCCATTCTCTATCTACCTGAGCTTGAACAGACTGATCTCATTCCACATTTCTTCATTCATAAAATGAACATACTAATAATACCGCTTGCTGTGTGGTACTGTGCAGAGGATAAGGTGAGCCGTGAGTGTGGAGCACAGAGCCTGTGTATGAAAATGGTACATGTTCACGTTGTCATCCCTACCAGTACTAGGGCTCCAGCACCTGTCTCAGGTGACTAGCAGACGTGCCCCTGTCCGTGTCTGTAGCATCACCTTTACTTATATGTTGCCAGAAATAAGTCGTGTTCAGTCGCATGTCTGTGAATGACCGATGATTAAGGATGGGCAGATCAATACAGCTAGTATCCCTGTCCGATGCTCCCATTGTTTTTGCTGGTGCAGGGAGAGCTCAGCTGTTTGATTTGTATGTCTGTTTGTATGCGAGTGCTATTAAATCAGTTTGTAGCCTGAAAGAATGTTTGCCAGACAAAGAAAGACACATGTGCCAGTTAAGAGACACCTAAAACAGCTGTTGGCTTGACACATCCCGAAATGTGACTGTTTTTGCTAATGGGAATGCTTCTTTTTCTTTACACTGAAGTCTTTCCACTTGCACACTAGACCATTGTATCCTTGCTCTCAGGCTGCAGGGCCTTTCTGGGGACACCTGCTCTGTAGGGACTGTGTGTGTACACACCACACACACACACACACACACACACACACACACACGCTCACACTCCTGTTGACGGGGGCAGGGGCTGTTTGCCCTGCAGATGAGCAGGACTAAAGCCCCAAAAGAATGAAATGTTCACTGGTTGACAGTCCAGGCTTTAGAATCAGACAAATGTGGGTTGAAATCACAGCTGCAGCTCTTCCTGGCTTTGGGAATTTGTTTAAAATGGGGGTGGAGCCAGGTGTGGCTGCACAAATTTATAATCCCAGTTCTCCAGAGGCTAAGGCAGGAGGATGACAAGTTTGAGGCCATCCTGAGCTACATAAGTGAGACCCTGTCTCAAAAATATAAAGTACTAAAGTGGAGGTGGTAAGAACTAGTAAGATCTGCCTTGAAGAGGTGTAAAAACTGACATACCATGTAAACCTCAGCCCAGTACCTGACATCTATGCACCTGACACCTATTAGCTTTTGCTGTTGTTATTCCTACCCTTGCCTTTACTTTTCATTTAAGGTGCACACGCTGTTCACAATCTGCCATCCTCCCCCTTCCCAGAGAAGTCCCTGAGGCCTCCTGGGACAAGGTCGTCCCCATGATATCATGGCCTTGGCAATCCATAAAAGGTTGGCTCTTCAGCCAGGACCTAAAGCCAGCAGAGAAGGAACCACAGACAGAACCATCCCAGAAAGAGCAAGCCCAAGGAGTGAGAATGAGGGCAAGGTCTCTGCCAAGGTCAGCAGGCTAAACCTGGGACTTTTTTTTCTGTATCCAAATACAACACCTCTGTGCTCCATAAGAACTTTTTATAAATACAGTCATCCCTTCACATCCAGAGGGGCCTGTTTCAGGACCCCCATAAGCCCCAAACTTCTCCACGCTTGGGTCCCTTATCTGAAATGGCATAGTATTTTCATAAAACCTGTGCATGGCTCTAGATCACTCATGACATGTAACAGTGTAAATACTGTGAAGAGTTGCTAGACTGCATTGTTTAGGAAGTACTGACAAGAAAAATGTCCGTGTATGTTCTGCACAGATGCAATTTTCTCTGAGTGTTTTTGAGCCACGGTTTGTTGGATCTGTGGATATAGAGCCCACAGATGTGGAGAGCCCAAGTGGTCACATCGGTGTTTTGCCTTTCCTCAGCTCCTGCAGCCTTGCCATGGAACACCGATATCCAGGATATCAGCACTGCAGTCTTAATCCCTTAAACTTTTATGCAACTTTGAAAAAGTCATATTAGTCTCTGCATCTTGGTTTCCCCATTTCCACAAATAGAGAGAGGCAGTGTGCCCAGCCAACAGAAAAAGAGACACCAGCTCTGTCACTTACCAGTTCTGTCACTTTGCACAGGTTATTTGGTCTCTCTGGGTTTTCTTTTCTTTTTTGTTCCCCCTCTTTCTTGATGTTCCTGGGATCTGAACTCTGCTAGGCAGGTGCTCTACTGCTTGAGCCATGCCTCCAGCTCTTTTTGCTCTGCTTATTTTGCAGATAGGGTTTTGCTTTTTTGCCCAGGCCAACCTCAACTCTGATCCTCCTATTTTACACTTCCTGTCATTGCTGGGATGACAGGTGTGTACCACCACACCAACTTTTTTCATTGAGTTGGGGGCTTCCTAACTTTTTTACCTGGACTAGCCTGAAACCATGGTCCTTCTGATCTAGCCCCTCACATAGCTGGGGTGACAGACAGACACCACTATACCCAGCTATTAGTTGAGAACTCATGAGTGTTTTGCTGGGGATGGCCTCTAACACTTGATCCTCCCTATCCTCCCAAGTAGCTAAGATTGTAGTTGTGAGCCACCAATGCCCAGTTCCTCTAGGTTTTCTTTTCCTCATCTGAAAATGGGACTGATACAGCTGGCCTTGTAAGGGTAAGGATTAAAGAAATGATAGACAGAAGTCGGCAGCTCTTCCTGATTATGGTAGCAATGGAATTTGGTTCTGTAATAGCCCACTTGGGCTAGTCCCCATCAATAGATTATCAAACTCATGTCCTCATCATCAGTTACATGCAGGTTAATGGGCTATGAGCTGCACACAGAGCCAGCAGACCTCACACCCAGCCCTTGCTCAACGTGCACAGGCTCTTGGCCTCCAGCAAGGAGTGTCAGAGCCTCCTGCAGAGGCAGAGGGGTCGCCATCACTACAGACATCTGTTCTCTCAGAGGTCTCATCCAGCCAAAATCCCTTGCCAGAGCAGCAGGTGAGCCCAGGGTTTCTAGAAAGCATCTGACACCTGATGGGCAGCCCAGAGGTCCACAGAGATGCTGTCTTGCCTGAGAAGTCCCTGATGAGCTCTGTGCTCAGCTGAAAAACAAGAAGGCCTTGGAACTTCTTGGTCAAAGTAGGCTTCCTCTCTGGGTGGCTGTATCCAGTAGCCCACAGCCCCTGAGACCCTGTGGCAGGTCTGGTGGTTCACTACCAGCCAGTCAGCTGACCAGGCCCTGGGCCAGGCTGCTTTTACTGAACTCCCAGGGAAGTGTCCTCTGGTCCCCTCCAAAGGGACACAAAGACATTGGTAATAGACCATGACAGGCTCATTTGTAGACTCTATTCATCCAGCAGCCAGGAATGATCTGTCCTGATGCTCTGGCTCTCCTCTCACCCGCTCTTCTCCTCCCTTCCCCCTCCCCGCCACCTTTTCCCCCTTCCTTCTGCCTGGAGAGTGATTTGTCTGTGTTATGGGTGGGCCTGACAAACCACTCCACATTAGCAGCCGAGATGTTGTTTGAAATGGGAAAATTGCTGGCAAACTGCTCCATTAGCGGTTCCAGTAACAAATACTCCGTTCCCCCAATGAAGATGAGATCGTAGAGGCACAAATTAATACGACTGTCTCCCCTGCTATGCAGCAGGGATTACTCTTCAAGATGAATGGGCTCAGCCCAGCCAGAAATGTGCTTCCACAAAATGTGGCCTCCAAGGGAACCAGCTCCTCCCCTCTCCCCCTGTGCTCTTCCCTGCACCCCCCTCCACACTCACCTTGTTTTGTGTGTCCCTGATGAGGGTTTGGGGAGCATCAGTGCCAAATGAGGGGGTAATGAAAAGACCTGCTGTGCCCTGGGGAGAAGGGAGATGGATGGGGACGAGATGTCTAGTCCTCAGCTTGGGCGCGGATATCATTCATCATCTGTAATAGAGCACCCCGCCTCTGCTCGTGCCTGCTTCCCAACACACCTGTTCTAGGTGAAAGAAAAAAGAATGGAAAGTCTCATTCCCTATTGCCCTTCTCTTCCCAGAAAGTTCTGGGCCCTGGGGCTGCAACATCTGACTTTTTCTAGAGTAATTGGAGTGGACACATTTCAGGAAGTCCACAGGAGGCTGAAGGTATGATTCCAGAGGTAGCTCAGAGGAGTGGTCCAGCCTGGCCCCCTGGGGTCTCCAGGATGCCAGGGATGTTGGGCTGAGAGCCCAAAGCTTTAAGGCTGCTTCTCCACCATACTAAAGTAGCCAATCACGAAGCCCAAAGTGAAGCTAGCCATTGATACTTCTGTCCATTAGCTGCGTGGTTGAGATTTTCACTGAATCGTGGCATGCTTCCATGGCAGATCAGCATTGCTGGCCTGCAGGACACCTCCTTTTATTCTTCCTTCTCTTTGTGCATTTGACTTTTCAGCACTCTGCTCGGTTCCTTCCTACAGCTTGCTCTGAAGAAGACAGCTGCCTCCCAGACAGCTTATGATAAGCAAGAATGAAAATCCTCAAGGGCAAGCCCTCCTTTCTAGCTTTCTCCAACAACCCTAGACCCTTAGGAGTGCTCCATGCGCCAGAAATGGAACTCTCTGGCTGTCACACTCCTAGGTCCCATCTCCCACACCTAGATCCAGGCCTTGGGGTGATACACTCTCCTGTTCTCGGGCCAGAGAACACAGAAGCCCTTGGTGGCCCCTGTTGGCAGGTGGGGGATAACAGACTCTTCTCTGCTTTGTTTTCTAGACGCCTAGAACAGAACTCCATCAAATCCATCCCTGCAGGAGCCTTCACGCAGTACAAGAAACTGAAGCGCATGTGAGTTCTCCTGGGAGAAGTGAGCCCCATGGTCTTCGGGGTCAGGGGAGGATTTGTGGTGCATGGTAGGCAACCTGCCCAGTTGACCACACATTCACTCCTCTGGTCAGTTTCAGACCCAGTGTACTCTGTTAAGTTTGGGAGTTTCTGAAGTATAATGGGCAGAAGAGCCTCACCAACCAGAGCACAGTAAAAGTATCTGTGTGAGAGGAGACAGTGGCTGTCCCCCCCCACACACACACAAAAAAAAACCCCTCATACTGTCATTTTTAATGCTCGTGGCCTTGGTGATATGGACCTAGAGTCGGAGTTTCAACAAAGGCATGATAGTGGCCCCTCATCTTTCTCTGCTTCCACCTCCAACATCCCTCCTACTGTGCATGCATTCTTGAGAGAAATACTTGGTGAATGTCCACCGCATGTCAGGATCTGAAATCTGTGTGCTGGATTTCAGTGAGAGAACAAAGAAAATAAATGCGTAGACATCAGAAATTAATCAGCATGAGACGTTAAAAAGGTAGGGGGGAAAAAGACCCAGAATGATGGTGGGTGGTGTTCCCAGTAGGTTTTCCTGGAATGACTCTGCTGGTGACTTGAAGGAAGGGAGAGAGGAAAGGTGAAGTCTTGGGGGGACTGTCCTAGGCCACAATTAGAGCAGGGGAAAGATAGGGGAGTCATGATGGTGGTTTGTGGACAGGAGCCAGTGAGGGGAAGGGAGTAGGGATTGTGTTGGAAGGGCAAGTCAGGGCTGCATCACAAGAGCCCTTTAGACCATAGTGGAGACTTTCTATTCTTTCGAAGAGGAATAAAACACTAGGAGAGTATGGTCAACACATGGTCCCATGACTTCACTTGATCAGCGTCCTTTAACTTGGCTTCAACATTCCCATGACCATGGTAGCCCATATCAATCCTCCTCCACATCAGTCATCACCCACTGACAGCAGCACGGCTGAACCATCCTTTCCTCAGCATCTGTAACAGCATCATCACATCATTGCCTTCATCCATGCCATGGGACAATGTCATCCTCCTTCCCCATCACTAATGACCTTGAGCACTGCTCTGAGTCACTTGGCACTAGACTGTGTGAGAAGAGGTGGACAGGATTTAAAAACAACTCAACTGTGGCATCCATAGGCACTAAGATTCTGGAAGGAGACCTTTCTCCTTTCCAGGTTGGGAAATTATTCTGTCTAACCCAGTAATCAAGATACTGGTTTTACTCCACTCACTTTTTTCTGCCCTCCCCCCTCCACCTGTGCCCTGCAGAGGAGAGAGGGGCAGGTAGAAGTATGGAGTACTTCCTGTGAATTCCCTCCATGCCAGCTGATTACTTGCTTCCCTTGGGCATGACAGCCTCTATTAATGAGCTGTGCTGATTCCTTTTATGCTAAAAATAAACATCCCTGAGAAGGGGCATTAGTGAGCTTATCCTCAGATCCAAGAAGCCAACTTCCCATCTCCCTGGAAATCCAAAGAAAACAAGGTTTTCTCCAGCAGCCATTCCTGAAGGGGAACTGACATAGGAGCCAGCCTGAAGCATGGACTCCGTCCCTCCCCTGGCAGCACTCCTGCTGGAGGAGCTATATAAATATGGGCCTTAATATTTAAAACCTCAGGTCATTAATCTCCTTGTGCCCCCTGCTTCCCAGCCCGCTCTCCATGCCCCCCCCATTCATTTTTAAAGCCTAGCTTGATTATGCAGCCAGATAGTAATTTCCATGACAAATGACAAGTTCAGTCACTGCCCACACCTCTATCTCTTGCCTGATTTAAGTTACTGCTCGAATTTTTTGTGGAGTCCAGGTCATTAGAGTGTGGCTGTGCTCCTTTCCCCATTCATTCATAATGCCTTCCCAATCAAAACCTGCAAGTGACTTTAATTTTTGATCACTTCTGATGCCACCTGTATTTATTATGATGCCCTCCCCTCTCACCTTCACCACTCAAGGGGATGGCAGCAGGGAAAAGAGTCCACTTAAAAATTTTTTGACCAATAGAACTTCAGAAATCCAGGCCGAAACAAATAATGCCATGGAAAAAGTAGGATACCAAGTGAAGATAGACACACCTCCCTAGTGAGAGTGGACATACCTCCCAGGTGTGAACAGCCAGTTAATCTACAATATGTAATAGAGAATTATTTGCCCCTCAGCTATGACTGAACCACATCCCGATCTTCCCTCTCTTAGAAAATAAAATAAAATTACCCATGAATGAATGACTCTGTCCCCATTCTTATGGTCACCCCAGGTAAAAACTAGTGTCAGAGTCGAGAAGTCTTTTGTAGGATGAGTAGAAAGCACTGGAGATCACTCGCCTGGTTTTGTGGAGCTGGTTTCCTGACAGCCCTAACCCCTGGGGCCATACTTGTTTGCTTAGGCAGAATGCTTTAAGAGTTCTTTTTAACCAGGCATGGTGGCTCACACCTGTAATCTCAGTGATCAGGAAGATGAGGCAGGAGGATCTGGAGTTTGAGGCCAGCCTGGAATACATAATGAGACCCTGTCTCAACCTCCATGAAAGTAGAGTTCTTAATTGCATTCCCTCGTGTACAACCGTCTAGCACAGGCTCCAGGACTTCCCAGCAGCTCACACTTGTATTACCTGCTCGATCCTTGAATTTGCCTCCTCTGTCCAGAAAAGTCATCCAGTTTATAAGTCCCAGGGGCCCGAGGTGGATCTGAGGCTGGCCAGATTCTAAGACACTGCAGGCACCAGTATCACCTGGGGCCCCCTGCTTGGAAGTCTCCTGGAGGTTTATTAAGCATGCAGGCTCCCAGCCCAGTCACCCCAGCCTACCAAGCCAGTCTCCATTGGTGCATTTTAATTACACCCTAGTGAGGTCAGGGAGCCAATACCCAAGATGACTGCAGCAGGCAGGGTAAGTTCTAGGCCCACCTCACTGTGGGCTGGGCAGGGTTAAGAGTGAAGTCAGTGGGCAGCTGAAGCCTCCTGAGGTCTGTCCACTTCCTCTCTTGTGCCATGGTATTCTACACCCATCATAGTGAACTTGAACTGAGAGCCAGAAAACTAGTGAGGCCCCCCTCTGTACTGATGACTGTCAAGTCACCTGTGGCTCCAGGTCCCTGGCCTCTTGAGACTGCTGCTTCCTTCCTGCAGAATGAAGAACTAAGACAAAGTATACCACACAGTGTCATTTATACATGGCATCTTAGCAAGTCCAACCTGTAGAAGTAGAGAGAATGGTGGGCACAAGGTCTATGGTAGAGGTAGGGGGAGGAAGACTGAGAAAGATCTTGGTCAAAGGATACAAAGTTTCAGCCAGGCAAGAGGAAAAAGTCCAAGAGATACATTGTAGTCATGATGACAACAGTTAATAAAAATGTATCATACACTTGAAAATCCCAGTAGATTTTAAATGTTCTCACCACAAGAACATAAGTATACGAGGTGATTCATGCTAAATAGCTTAATTTAGCCAATTCCAAAATGAATACATATTTCAATAGATTGTGTTATGTACCATAAATATAAATAACTTTAAAATCGGGGCGGGGAGGGGCTAAGTGACCCACCAGGGTTAATTCCCAGCTAAACTACCATTTCTCCAGCTCCTACCTCCACGAAAATCAGAAGACATCTCACGTCAGCTGTAGCTACAAGGAAGTTAGGACAAAATGTGAACAGAAAACCAATTTGCCCGCACAGAGCTAAAGTTGAGGGCTTCCCCACTGGCCACGGGACTTCCTTTTGCAGGTTAGGGGTCTGAGCATCCTGAAGAGAAATCCCATGATTGGGGAAAAGGAGCTAAAATGGGCCCTGTCCCTCATTTGGACGACCCTCCGGGCCTACCTGCAATGCCCTGCTAGGCAGCCATGCCAGGAGCCAGCAAGATTAGGATAATCCAGGGTATTTGTTGTTAAGACCCTTCTACAAAAATGCAGCACTGAAGAAAAGCCCAGAATAAGCTGCTGAGTTTGCAAGCGATCTTGCCAGCTAAGGGGATAAACCAGACAGCTGCAAGGCAGAGGCTGTAACCTGTAAAGTGTCTTTCAACTTCCAGGCTTTGGAAAGAGGGGAGGGAAGGGAGTGAGGTCTGGCAAAGGTTGCTGCGTGGCCTTTCCCAGGCTGTTAGAGAAAGGCGGGACTGGGCTCAAGCTGCTTCCGCTATGGGCAAATAAGAAGCTTTGGAGGCCAGGTGCCTGGCCTCGCTGGAGGCCATCCCTTACGAGTCTGCTCAGATGGGCTTTCTTCTCAATATCCACTTGTCTTCTCCTTGTTGACCTGCTAAGACCTCATCTCTCCCTCTCCTGCACAGAGCTAGGACCCATTGATTTATTTTGTTAAAGGAAAAGAACTGCAAAGGTTTGTTGTCACAGGAAATTGGAGCATCTCTCCTTCCAGTGAAAGTAGCCCAGCGGCCACCCTGAGCTAATGACTCCAGAGGGAATGAAGCCCCCTCTGGGAAGGGCCATTAGTGAGGACTGATGGTCCAGTTCCCAAGGGACACTCCAGTGCGTAGCTTGTGGGCCTCTGAGAAGGAGCCGGACGCGTGGGTCCTGTACACCTCGAGACCAGGGTAGCCCTTGTGGCCCAGTGTGCAGAGGACCCGCTCACATTATCCAAAGCCCTGGACATCGTCCCCTCCCTGGGCTTGCTCCCAGTGAGGAGCACTGGCAGCCAGTAATAAACCCATGTCTCAAAGGTGTCCCTTGCGAATCCCATGATTTGTCTACATCACACAGCCTCGAGGACATGTCGAGCTAGACAGAGGCTTGAGTCCCTGCTCAGAAACTCCTTTTGGGTCACTGGGAGGTCAAGTGACTCAGGTCTTTCTGGGGATAAATAATCCTCTGCCAAGGTACAAGACAAGAAAGTAATGTTTTCTGTGTTGGAGTGAGGCGGGTTCCTGCTTTACCTGTGCCATTATGTGTTTGATAAGAAGACCTAAGACAAAGCCCTTGGGTGTAGTTTTACACCTACAAGAGGACAGCTGCATGTGTATAGCCTTCTGTCTGAGTTGAGATGCCATGGTGAGTGTTCATTAAAAACCAAGACAAATGATACAAGGTGGGCTGAGCACCATGGCTCACTCCTGTAATCCCAGCTACTCGATAAGCAGAGATCAATCGGGAGGATAATGGTTCAAAGCCAGCCCAGGCAAAAAGTTAGCAAGACCCCATGTCAACAACAACCTAGTTTTTGGTGTCACAAAACTGTAACCCTAGCAACGCAGGACACATATGTGGAAGGCTCATAGGGCCCAGGCAAAAAAGCAAGACCCTAGCTGAAAAATAACCAAAAACAAAAAAGGGTGGGGGTATGGCTCAAGTGGTAAAGCACCTGCCCACCAAGTGCAAGGCCATTGAGTTCTGACCCCAGTACCACAGAAAAGTTTATTTAAATTAATAGAAAGGTACCAGTCTTTTCCAAAAGGCAGTAGGACGAACGCTGTATAATGCACGGTCTCGTGCTGTGGGTAAATAAGTCCCTTGATTGACTAACTAATCCCTGCTGCTTTGATGTCTGAGCTGAGGGGTGCACACTCAGGGGTGACCATTATCACACCTGCAAGCCGTGTTCTCATTCTTCCTTCCCCCTTGATGTTTTCAGAGACATCAGCAAGAATCAGATATCGGACATAGCTCCTGACGCCTTCCAGGGTCTGAAATCACTCACCTCGCTGTAAGTGGGGCCAGAATTGGGGGCGGGGGGAATATGTCCATATTTTTCAGGAGGTGTTTATCAAGACATTATATTTCCTTACACACTCATGGCAACCTGGTAAAAGAAACGAATATTTCTTCAGGGGGAATTGATCTCGGGGAATATTTCTACAACTCAAATGCATTATTTTTATTGATTAAGTGCCTGGAAGCTTTTCTAGTTATTGGCGTCTCATTCTAACACATCTTCGACCCTAACCGTGCTCTCCCTCCCACCAGCTCCCTGCACAGTGTGTCCCCAGGGAGACAGGAGGACAGAGAATGGCACTATCTGTTGCTGAGGCCTGTTTCTGCCCCCCCACCCCCATGCTGCTTTGTCCAGGGAGGTGACCGTTTTCTTTGCTGATGTTTAGTCTTTTTCTCTGAACTAGCCTCTAAGCCATTGTTCTGAGAAGATACCTAACCTGGCCTGTTGCCGGCCTGTCTTTGAGTTTGAAACACTTAGACAACCCATTTGGGGTCAGGGGGCGGAGGCAAATTCTCACCCACCAGGGGCTATGAGGCTCATGGGGTAAGGTTTGCCCTCATTGACACAGTGGCCCATTGTGTGACACAGGGAAGTCACTTCTGTGCCTTTAACCTTCTGTGCTTGTTATCTCAGTCACCCCTCCCTACCTAATGCATCCAGTGATAACCATGTTTACAGTGATAATAATAATTAGCAGCATTTATTGAGCATTTACTGTGTACCAGGTACTGTTCTAGGAGTCCTTACAGCAGCCTACCCTATACACTGCTATCTCTCTTTGACAGGTAAAGAAACTGAGTCATGCCAGGCCCTGGTGGCTCACGCCTATAATCCCAGCTACTTGGGAGGCTGAGATAGAGAGGATCGCAGTTTGAAGCCAGCCTGGGCAAATAGCTCACAAGACCCTAACTCCAAAACAACCAGAGCAAAAGGGACTGGCAGTGTGGCTCAAGCAGTAGAGCACCTGGTTTGCAAGCACAAAGCCCTAAGTTCAAACCCCAGTCCCCAAAAAGAAAAAGAATAGAAATCGAGTAATCTAAGCTCTTGACTGTTTTGTTCCTGCTATAACCCTGGCACCTCCTATGTACCTGGAACATAGTTATTTAGGAAAACAAAAGTCATGTTGAATAATAAATGGGACATCTCAGTCACAAGAGGAAAAGGCAGGATATGAACCCAAGCTATCTTGCTCCAGAACCTGAGTTCTTGACCTCTGCACTTTGTCCCTCTTATCATAACGTGGGAAGTCTGACGTAAGATACAGCATGATTTCATGACAGATATTATTTATCTCATCGGGTGACCTCTTCCCCTTCCCTGCCCTCAGACAGCAGAGAGACTGTTGAGAGATGAGGTGTCTATGCCTGCCTCTCTGTGCCACCTGTGTGCCTAATCTATGAGTGGGTCGGTAACAAGGCCCACCTCCCCTCAGCCCCATCCATCGGGCAGGGGAAGTCTCTGGTTCAGCTGTTGCCTGCTGCCTGCAGAGTAAATTAGTTTCATTTATTGAGTAGAACATCTGGCTGGGATATCAAAGACATGTTAGTGTCTGCATGTTGTGCCGAAGATCACAGAGAAGGGACAGAGGAGCCACCTGCCACCAGGATCCTTACCCACCCCAACCCTCCTAGTCCCCTTATCTGCATTCTCTCAGTCAGGATTTGAGAGCAGTCTAGGAACAGTCTTGCAGGAAAAGAAGCTCAAACTCTGCTTGGCAACCATGAAAGTGGCATGCCTCTAACCAATCTGGAAGCACAAGTTGCGCACTGTTCAAGTTTGCGCACTGTTCACCTCAGTTTAGGAGATGCCTAAGGTCATGCCATGAACTGTAAACACAAGACCCCTGGCCCATGGGAGTTGACAGTTGAACATAAACATACCCAATCCCAGCTCAGTAGTGGCCAAGGGAAGGCTGGGGAGTCTTCACCCCATTCCTCATTCATTTAACAGATATTTATGCTGGACACTGTTCTGTCCTCAACTCTAGGAACCCAGCCACCAACACCACTCTATCATGGTGCCACACTCATGGAGCCTACATTCAAGAGAGCTGGTGGAAGAAGGGCATAAAAATATCACATGACAGAAAGGTCATTGCTATGAAGAAATAAAATAGGGTAACTGGTGGGGAAAAGTATTACATGAAACACTTAAGAGAAATGTCCCAATGGACAGATATTGGCATCACACCTGAAAAGTAGGAAGAAGGTGGTCGAGGCAAGATCAGGGATGGGGAGCTAGAGCAATCCACACACAGATGCCCCTGAGGTGGATGCACAGGCAGGTGACTGGCCCACTAGACTTGAAAATGAACCACTCTGCAGCATGATGTCATGGGCAGGGTGAGAGGCCCCTGGCCAGATCCCACCATCCCAGCCCTACAACCCCAGCGGCTTCTGTGACACTAAGTTCTAACATCCACCAAGATGAGCAGACAGTGACATGACTACATTTGGCACAGTGAGCAGAGGGACATTAGTATGAATTACAGATGTGAGCCTGAGCCATCACGCTGACTTCTATTTAGTCATTAATTTGTTGAAACATTAATGAAACACACCCCGCAGGCTGATGGCGGCATTCACTCTTCACTCCCGGTGGCATCTGGAAACAGGGGATTTGGTTTATCGCTTCCTTTTAGCATTCCCTCATCCTAATATTTTGCCTCCTCCAATGGGTATCACAGCCCGGATTTGCCAACTGAGTGGGAATTGAATATTGCATTCATTCCATACCCTCGAAATCCCCAAGATGGGATTTTAACAACAGAAGCAAACAAACCAAGCCCTTTTAGCTCTGTTCTTTGGTCAGAGAGGAGGCTGGACCCCAGAGACAGCAAAGTCTGCCAAGGAGAGAAACAGAGAGGCTAGGAGGGTCTCCAGGCACTGAGGATGAGCAAGGTCCAGGCCCAGAAGCCCACTGGGCACCAGGCTAGAGAGGTAAACCTGGCAGATTTCTTTCCAAAGACAAAGCCCATGACTAGGAGCTGAGGGAAACCGTGGACCTGAAAGAGAAAGGCAAGAGGCTTCTAAGGTCCTCTGAAAGAATAGAAAGGGCGGGGGGAGCTACTTAGCTTTCCCCATGAGCCAGGCATTGACTCAGCAGCCCTAGCCATCTGGAAGGGCCCAGACGCCCAAAGCTCTGTCCAGGTGGATGATTAAAGGACTGAGCCCAGGAATTCCTATGATGCAATAGGATATTAAAAGGAAATGTCCCAGAGGCCGGCTCGGCCTGATCGATACCCATCGAAGGCACAGGCCGGCCTCCTACACCACATATTTATTGCCGGGTGTGAGTCATGTTCACAGCTCGGGAGGCACCACAAACGGCTGCTGCTTCCTCTTGGGGATGACATATTGGACTGGGCTTCCCAGGAGTGAAACAGATGGAGCCCATCTCTCCTTGCCTCCAGGACAGCCTGCCTCACCAGCCCCTGCCTCCATCGCACCAAGGGGAAGGAGGTGGCCTGAGATCCTGCACTCACAACTGGCGAAGGGGATGACCTCCCCTAAGAACCAGTTGTGGTGGCCTCCCATGGTAGTGACTGGTGTCATTGGCTCTCTTCCAGGGTGCTGTATGGGAACAGGATCACTGAGATTGCCAAAGGACTGTTTGACGGGCTGGTGTCTCTACAGCTGCTGTGAGTCCGAACCTTGTCACTATTTGCATCTGTGGGGCGGTGTGTGGGCTCTCAGCTGAAAACGCTGATCTGGACAGTTCTTTATGCATGCCATCATCTCCACAGTCTTTTTCCTACGGGTAGAGAGCCAAGGAGTTGGCAGAGGGAAGCCTGGGTTACTGTGCACAGCCTGGCCTATGCCAGAAAGAGTTGAATCTACAAGGGGAAGTATAGGGTACAGGTGTACTAAGAATTTTGGGAACCAAAACATTCATAAGCCCAGGTCTAGTAGGAAAGCTACTGCTAGACATTTGACCTTGAAGAAAGGTGGGGGTGGGACCAGAGAATTAGAGAAAAGCACAATTAGTTACCCGTGTGACTCTATCTGGGTAAGATTTGGCTGAGGGGGGGAAGTGTTTATTTAATTTAAAGGAAGATTTGTTGCCCCAAATTCTAACCTCTGGAATTATTTACTTGCATTTATTTCATTCTGGTCATTTGTGCTTAAATGTTTGAAGAAGATAGTTGAACTCTAATGTGGAGAAGGAAGGAAAGGAATTTAGCTGACACTATATTTTAAGATTGTATGAGTGAGTCATGGTGGTGCATAGCTGTAATCCCAGCTACTGGGGAGGCAGAGATTGAGAGAACCAAAGTTTCAGGTCAGCCAAGACAAAAAGTTAGTGGGACCACCATCTCAACAAACAATGGGTTTGATGGTGCAAGTCTATAATCCCAGATACATAGGAGACATTGGTAGGAGGATTGAGGTTCAAGGTCAGCCCTGGGCAAAAAATAAGAGACCCTAGCTGAAAGATAACTAAAGCCAAGAAAAGCTGGAGGTGTGGCTCAAGTGGTAAAGTGCCTGCCCAGCAAGTGTACTGAGTTCAAACCCTAGTACCACAAAAAACAAAAATATCTTAAGATGAGAAAGAGTCATATCTGATTTGTGATATTAGCTGTGGGACCAGTACATACACACATAGACATGCACACGTACACACATACACACGTCTGCTCTGTGCCCTTCACAATCCCGCGACTTAGGAACCAATCTTGCTATCCTATGAGCAGTGGAGAAAAACAGCTCTCAGAGAGGTAAATATCTTGACCTCCATCACACAGCAAGATAGATGCGAACACTGGAATCAAGTCTAAATGGCCGTGTGGCTCAGAGCCCCCAGGACTCTGGATAGCACGTGATAATGTCTGCACTTCTGCGTGCAGATAGGCGCGGGTATGTTAGTGTGCAAACATGACTTTCTTTTTAAAATAACCTCCAAATCACAGGCAATGAAGAAGAAGTCCACGGCCTCCCTGCCTCCGTTGTGCAGGTAAGAGGAACCACCATCTAAGTTCACAGGCCAAGTGGTCTAGCTGGACCTCTAGATAAGTGTGAAGCACAGCAGCAAAGAGGTGGTGGTTGACACCCAAGGACTCTTCTAGAAAGAAGTAAAGTTTTCCTCCAGCCTTTCCCAGCTCCCTAATCTCCCAGGTCTTTTAAGACCCTGACAGATTCTCCTGGGACAGGACAGCACAGAACTGTGAGTCAGGTTGGAATAAGACGCCCAGCAGGTTCCTGGGCGGCCAATCCATCATAGCAATGATCAGGCAAACCTCAAAACCAGAGACAAAGATCTCTGGCTCTTTCTCTGCATCTCTCCTTCTCTGTCGCCACGTCTGTCTCATTCTGCGTGCATCTGTGTGGACACTTCGTGTTCTAAGGTCCCAGCCTCAGTGGGCCTTTAAGCTATTTTTTGGAATGACTGCCAGCCTCTGCAGGGAGCTGGGTGTTTCACAGATGGTGTTCTGTGCACAGAGCAAAGAAACTGTAGGTCATGGCCGCTGCTGCAGGGCTGGTAACTGCAGCTATCAGTCCCCACAGGAAGATAGTGAGGGCATCTGTCTGTTGGTAGATTGGGGGGGCTGTGTCCCTCCAGGCTGGTGTGGGTGTCCTCTTGTAATCTGTAAGTCTGTGTGTGGAAGGAAAATGCCCTGGCACACAGTAAGGGGGCTAGACTGTGTGTCAAAGTGCCTAGCACAATGACTGGCATGTATCAAAGCTCCTAGGATGGCACATTTACAGAAAGGAAACATGTCCTGGCTCTAAGCTGATAATAGACAGGGTGTTAACTGAGCAGCAGGACTTTGCCTGGCTGAGAAGGCAGCTGCATTTTGAGCAGATGGAATTGACCTGCTGGGCTCTCTCTGCGGGGACCAGGCGTTGACACAACTCAGGCAGGCTGGCTTTCCTAAAAGCCAGCACCCAGACCTGGGGGAGCCAGCACTGGGTTTGAACCTGCTGTTGAGCAGTTGGAAAGTAGGTCCCTGGTTAGAGCTAATTCAGTGTTCAGCCAGAGGTAGACAGGATTTCTGCATTAGGCTGGAAACGCTCTGATAGGAAGGCTCTGATTAGAATACTGGGGCGTTTCCTGTCCTCTGACTCAAGTGCTTTCTGTGAGGTTTGTCTTTTTCCTTCTCTCGCCATCTCTCAAATGCTTGGTCCTTCGCAATGCAGAGCCGTGTCTGCCATGTGTCATGGTCCTGAATATCTTCTTTCTCGTACTCGTGAGGCTCACAGTGACAAAGTATGTGGCAGTTGCTTGTCCTGTCCTTCCCCTGTTTCTGTGCAGCTTTCAGCCATTGCTCCAAACAAAACCAGTCCAGTACGTGCCTAGCAGCCCCCTAGTGGGTTTCCTGGTGTGTTCCTTTGGCCAGATGGCTAACAATGGAGGAGAATACCCTGGGGGCGCTCAACAAACAAGCATCAGTGATCCCAGGACAGCCCCTAACCCTGATACCCAATACCCTGTCCCCTGGAGCTTCACAACCACTATCTCCTTTGCTTAGTTCCAAGATCTTAGAGTTCAAGGGAACCTCCAGGCTCCAAGCACAGCCTCTCACCTGGTGCAGAAGTCCCCACCCCTATGCCTTCTCTGACAAAGCCTCCTGTCACTCATTTGCTGATGGCTTCTGTGATGAACCCTCACCACAGAGTTAGGAGTTAGAAAGCTCTTGCTTATACTAAAACTCAGTCCTGGCTCCTGGGAAACTCATAGAAGCCAGTGTTGAGTGCCTTCCAATGTTTGAAAGAAACTAGCGTATCTCCCCATAATTACTCCTGGACAGCTTCAGCTCCTGCAGCCACTCATCATACAAATGCACACTCACTGTTGATTGTTATTGTTTTTGAGGGATGCCCAAGAATGTGTGAGCTTCCCTTGTAAGACAAGCCACTCAGAAGCACATTGATGCCCATTTGGACAATGGGAAGTGTGAAATATGGTGGTGCCTGAGAAGCCATGGTTAGAACAGAGTGTATCACTGGACACGTGCATTCCCTCCTCATCCCTGCCCACTCAGGCTAGTAGGCTCCTAGGACATCAGTGAGGAAGATGGTCATGTGTGGGCAGCCAGCCAGAGTTTCCCTTAGACCCTTTGCCTCATAGCTCAGAGGCCCATCCTTCCCCAAAGCAGGCAAAGTGGCCAGTGTGTCACCAGGGCTGTCACTTCCTACACTGATGGACAGCCACAGGTGCACTGTGAGGGCCTCCCCTGGGAACAAAGCTCTCACTGACTGTGTGGCAGGCATAGGAAAGTCACTGGGGGGCCAGGCTGCCAGTTGAGATGGAAGCCTTTAAGCTGTTCCAGGAGATTTTAAACCAAACCAGATTATTTTAGGGCTGGTATAAGTTAAGACAGCCCAAACACCTGTTGTCCAATTTTCTTGGAGAGCAGACAAAACCATTTGAGGCTCTTGGAGTTTGCCAGGCACCATATCAATTACAGAGCAGTGAACCAAACTTCCCTCCGTGTGGCACACTTTCCAATGCCAGCCGTTTCACACAAGCTACTCACCACCACTGCTGACCACCACGGCTCACGATGATGGGATTACCTCATCCACTCCCAGCAATCTCACGGGCATCCTCTCAACTTTATAACAATGTTAAGCAGAAGGTATTGTCAAGAGGACCATTTCAGAGATGGGGAAACTGAGGGTTAAGTAACTTGGCCATGCCACTCAACATATAAGCGATAAGACTGGAACCTAGACAGTCTAACTCCAGAGTCTATGCCCTTGACCACACACATCCTTCCAGAGACTTCTTCAGGCCCAGTCACGGGCAGATCTGCAGAGTCAGTTTTGTGATATGCAGAACAAGAATTCCTCACTGGCTAAGTCAAGGTGAAGATGCTGTCAACTGACCACTCCCCAGTATTGGTCATGGGCTGCTGCCTCCAGGCAACCTTCCCTGGTTCATGACCAACACCCCACAAATTCATGTCCTGAGCTCCACAAGAGGCAGTGGGGGGCCCTTGCTGTCAGACACTTGGCTAGGTAGGGGGATAAAGACCCTCATCATAGCAGAAAGACCCATGGCCTCGAAAGAGGCTTTCTCTCTCTTGTGACTGCGTCATTTCCTAAAGAAAGCCCTGGGGAGTCCTAAATTCTGGAATGTTCCATGCTTGAGTGAACAGTTCACCCCTCTTAAAGGACTGATTCATCACCAGGTAGCAATCAGATAGGAAGTGGAAACCCCAGTAGCTGCTGTGAAGGGAAAGAGCAGCAAAGCCACAACAGGCCAAGCCACTAGATGTCCCAATACCCAGGTGACAGCGTGCCCTCTCTGATCCCTCTCATCTCAGCTGATTCTCTTAGGAAAACCCCTGTGCAGACTCTGTTCCTGGACTGCCTGTGTCTCTGGGGTAAAAGGAGGTTTTGGTTTCAGACAGGCCATCCAATGGCAGTGCTATACACACTGTCCCATTTCCATTAGGAATCACCATGACAACAGTGCAGCCATTATCAAGAGAGAAGGGACGAGTCACCTCTGCCCTTTTGGGACTTGGAGGTCTCTGCTGTCACCTCCTGTGAGAGTTTAGCACGAAGTGACCCAGAGCCCCCTTCCACCCTGCTCAAGGGCCAGATTTCCTCAGTGTTGTGGCACGAGGAATCATCAGGTTCTTCATCACATCTGGCCTCAGTAGACTGCTGAGGGTCAAAATAAATTCCCCAT